ATTTTATTAATGTACTCGAGTTACAGGCTGATTCTATAAAAATATTGATTCTATGTGCTTGACAAGGAATGTATGGAATATTCCTTAGACACATTTCTGATAATCGTTTCTGTGTATCATTATATTTATCGGACATATTACATACAAAGTCACAACTTTGGAAAACAATTTTATTTACTGGTAATCCCAATGAATTCAACACTCCAAAAAATTTTTCTGCTAATTTTATATCTGTTTTTTTTAGTAAGAACCCCATCTATATTTAAAAGACGTTTTTTTGATACAAGTTCGCCATTTTTCTCGTTGATATAATGTATGTTGATTGTAAGACGATCATTGTGTGATAAGTCAGGTATTGCATGTGCAATTACGAAATAGAATTCAGCATTTTTTATTTCGCTAATAAACATATCACGTGCTTTCGTGCTAAGTAAACTAATAAATCATTTTGAGAATCTACCCATAAGTAAGTAACTTTGTGTTGTTGTTCGTTAGTTTCTCTTAACCACTGGGTTAAGAGTTATGGAGAATAGCGAGCTAATAAATTTACTATCTTGGAAAAATTACCATTATCGTTTTCGTGACCTCTAAAGGCTAAACCTTGCCTTGCTAGAGTCCGAGCTACATCAATTAATATTTCTAATACTTTTTTATGGTACTCTTTTTGTTGTTCCTCCCATATATTTTGCTCCCCAAGGTCTTTGTCAAGAATAATGTTCACGTGGCTCTTTTTATCCAAAAAATGACAATAATCAAATATACCTGCTTTATGATATTGTGATGAAAAATGTTCAGTAAGTTTTCCTTTGTTTTTGATTCCACGAGTTTTCATTTTATGCCAACTACGGATACTAGAAGAAGCCCACTCTGAAGTACCAGATTTGGATGGAAAAAGGCCAAATGAGAAGCAAAATGCTGCATATTTCTCAATACTATATTCTAACATTTAAAAATCTTTATACCACGTAGGATTAAAGCGGAGATGTTTATTTGAAGCTATGGCTTCATTTGCTGGGAAAATAGTCATTTTTGGCTGAAAAGGTCCGAGGAAAATCAAGTAGAGCCGGTCTTGCTGAGAAAGCACGGTTTTTTTTGTTTACCAGGGTAATGATCCACATGTTCATTTTCAGTAACTACAATTTCATAATTTTCTTCAAATATTTATTTCTCTCCTTCTCTTGCGTAGTGAAGTATCTCCTCACATTTTTTTTGAATTTTCGACAAACAATCAATAATCTCGATGACAAATATTTTTTGGGTTTGGAACATAAACAATCTTGATATTTTTTAAATATCACTATCTCTATCAAAATTAGCGAGAAATTCAGTAACTTGTCCAGCACAACTCATCCAAGAAAATGAGTCATCTGTAGATATAGTTTTACTAGTTTCAATCTTTGAAGGTTTTTCTGTATCTACATTTCATCATTTTCCACAACTAATGGCTCATCACTGATATCATTAACAGCAATGTGAGATAAATCAGTAATAAACGATGATTCGACCACTGTTGGTCCTTTAAAAATATCAGTAGACGTCCCAACTGCGGAAGATAGAGGTGGAGATTGCGTGACAAACTTGGAAGAAACATGTGTAAAAGAAACTACTGGAGAACTAACAGTAGCTTTTATCTTAGAAGCTTCAAATGGATTTAATGTTGCACCTACGTGTTTAACTTTGACCTTTTTACCATGATGTATTGATTTTTCATGATGATATTATAGTCATCGTCAAACTGGCTACTGCATTCTTCACATTCCATTTTAATACGTTTTCTCTTATTCATAATATTATAGGTATTCATAACTGTTCAAAAATACAATTAATGTTACTCAAAACCAACAAACTACACACAATAAATTTTTTTTCGATTCACGAAACGTAAAAATAATTTTATTACAAGGCAAATTAAAGAAATAAGAAAATGTTGTTTTTTATGAAAACGTTTTTAAAAACATAATTTTTCCCAATTACAATAATTAAACAATAATGATGAAAAATCCGATGTAATAAAATAATATAAAATATTTTCTTAAAATTTCATTTATACTTGTTGCTTTACAATAGTCTTCGGTGACCTTTTGCAACTCATGGGCCACAAACACAAACACAAATTTAAAAGATTAGTGATTTATGTAAATAAATTTACAATATTTTCATTTTTTTACGATTATTAAGAGAAACGCGTAAAAATTTTATACAAAATAATATTTCACAAAAATCAAAACTGTACACAACTTTCGTTATAAAACAAAATAAAAGACACGCATCCACAATACAGTTGACATGACCATACCCGATTATGGCGGTCCTTACATATACGTAATGTCGATAACACGGGTATTTTGAGAAATTCTCAAACAATATCCTTTGGCCAGCCGTAGAACAGATAATAAATTGTTTACAGTGTACATTGTTTACGAATGAGAGGTAATAAAATATTAAAATAGACCTATGATTTCTATTTTCAATGACTACAATACACTTAATCATCAAAAATAGAATAATTACAGTCGACACGATTTTACTGGGTTGATTATGAATGGCGTTTTGTCGACTGTATCAAATTTTTCACTAAATTTGCGATTTGCCGACTGACAAAAATAGGTCGTGGGGTGTGCACCCTAATTACCCACTCGCGGTCCCAAACGCCCCTAAATATTGTTATAGGTGCACAGTGTACGGTCAACTGATAACAATTTTTTTTTTTTTAACTTTTATAGCCCATGTAGGGACTTTGCTGCTTCTACTATTTGATGGTATCATTCTCTATCTACGCACTCTTCTAATTTTAATCCTGGCGCACATTTTCCAAGGTCTGATTTGACTATGTCTATCTACCTCTGCCTTGGCTTCCCTCTAAGCCTTTTCCCATTGATAGTGCCAATCATTACATCTTTTATTATACCAGTAGATCTCCAGGCATGTCCTGCACATTCCATCCGTTTTCCTCTTATAAAGGATTTAATATTGGCCTTTGAGTATATTTGGTAGATTTCTCTATTGGTTCTTCTTCTGTATTCCCTATTTTCTATGATAGGGCCATAAATACGTCTCAATACTTTCCTTTAACAAACGGAATACTCGTGTTGACATATGATAATGTTTCAATTTTTTATAATAAAGATTAGAGTTAATCATTTCTGTATAAAGCGCGTTATACATTATTATTCCAGTAAATAATGTAATAAGACAGTTTTTACTTTCGTTCTTTATAAAATTGACACGGCACCGCCTTTTGGTCTAGACTGGCGCTCACCCGTGTCTCTCTCGATGTCAGCCGTCCAGCTATTAATATGACAATCGGTTTTCATCGGTTGTCTCTCCGCCCTTGACATCGAGATAAGGACGTCACCGAATATGGATTACTGATATTGAGGTCTGTTCCGTTTTCGACGTACACCTTAACTGGTTATTTTTACGATTGTGATAAATATTAATATTTATTGTGCTTTCGTTTGTTTTTTCAACTTTGATTGTGAGATTATTAGTTGTAAGTAATCCGTAATTAACGGATTGCTGCCCAGGTGATATAAAAAGTATCTGTGTCGACTATTTTAATTTATTTAATTTCATATTTGAACTACAAATTACTTGTGTGGTGTTATACCGCACCATTATTTCCTAATTTTATTGCATTTAATCTCAAATTTAATTTTTTACGATTTCGTTTGTGACGGAATTTTAATCATACATCCGTCTTGTGACTCTCATTATCATCAAAGTTCTTTATTATTTAGTCAAAAAAATAATACATTAGTGTATACTTCAATTTTTTGTACTATTTTGTACTTCCTGTCTCATCTTACAGTTCTTAGCTAATGGATATCTGTTATAATTTAAAGTATATCCAAAATCAATCTACATCAAATTTAAAATAAATTGCTCCTGTTAATCTATTGCCATTATCAGCGTACTAATAATATGAGATTAGGAATCTAGTGTGTATTTAACAATATATAAAATTTATAAATTACCAAATAGTTGGCTTAAATAAAAGTTTTCATTTTATTTACATTTTGCCAAACTTATTAAGTCAGTATGCAGTAGTAGCATATTTCACATTTGCTGACTCGATGAGAAGTCTAAAATTATAAGATTTAAAGCTAACCTAATACAAATAAATAATTAGTAAAATTTAAAAAAATGCTTGAAACAAAACTAATATCATCATATTGAAATTAAAGAAACCTATTTATGAAGTCGCTAACTAAGAAACATCTCACTCAGAAATAATATTGTGGCTTTACTATCACGAGTTAACTTATTGTATTTGTACTCTAATAAATATAATAGTAGTCATAATTTACACATAATATGTAAAATCTTAGATAGATTTGAAAAGGTAAAAAATCTAATTGCTTATAACATCCAATAAGAAAATAATAATGTGAAATATTAAATCCCTAGGATTGGATATTTCGATAGTACTTGCAACGAGATAGGGCAAAATATCAGCAAAATTTCACCCTCTACTAATTTTATTATCTAATACTGTAGATGTATGCACAATTTTTGAAAAAGAAATGTTAAAGACCTTGGATTCCACTTAGCTGACGCTTATATTTAAGAAACATATTACCTTTGTTATTTAAATATTTGTTTATTTTCCTTTTGTATCACTGTTACGTGACATAATAAATTAATGTTAACTCTAATTTTATATTTCTCTTTTAAATTATGGTTCGGCTTTAATTAATGAAAACTAATTAATCAATTTAGATACGTAAACATATAAGAAAACCACCTGTTTGTTGTAAGCAATGGAAATTGCAAGTGGATTCTGGTGATCATGTGATATATAACAATGCATACTATTTGTCAGATTCAACTAGATATTCTGCTCATATTAAAAATATTATTAGTGAAGATAAATTATTAATCATTGATGATAATGATCAAGTAGTTTAAATTTTATTATTGTTTTTGCATTATTAGAGATAAGGCAAAAAATAGTTTATGTAATCATTAGTTATAAAAAGTTATTTATAAAAATCGAGATTTTGAAAATGTGTTATATTCGTATTATATTTTTCCATTAGTTATCAATGTCAGTTTGGCTTGAGTATACAAACAATCGCCAACCTGAAACACTTTTTGATACAAAAATAACTTTGTGGAATATATTGTCATCTATAATTAATAAACGAGCATCTCAGTGTGGTTTGTATTTGGTTGGTTCGACAATGAACGGTTTTGGTGGTAATATAAGTGACGCTGATTTTTGTTTACTGACCGACTGTGCAACTTTTTTGCCTTCTGCTTCATTTGACGAGTTTAATCATACTAAAGTCAGTGTAGGCCGGGCTTGTGGAATTGAGCGCCTCCGATGGCTGATGAATGTTCTTCAAGAGGAAATTACTTTAGGAGAATTTCATGCTACTGAAATGTATATTGTTTATGCCAAAGTTCCAATTCTTCGATTTATTTATAATGGTAATAACAGTGTAGACGTAGATCTGTGTTGTAATAACGTGGTCGGTATTCGAAACACTCATTTATTGTACTGTTATTCTAAAAGTAATTTTTTACTATAATACTTAATCATTTGATAATTTTAAACAGTGCTTGGATATTAAAATATTCACTTATATATTACTTTAAAAGAATCGGCATACTGAAAACAAGTAGAGTAAAATCAGACTATGATTAAAATCTCAACAGTAAAATTCTTTGATATAAATATCATTGAACAAATCATGACTATTCCACTTTCCTTAGCTGTATATAATTATCAGAACAAATAAAATTATTATTGATTGTAAATCACAGACATTGCTTAAACAGTTTTCTTCTATATAAAGTGTAATTCATAGCTATTTATTATTACGTGATTCAAGAACGATGGAAAATTGGAAAAAATTTTAAAGTTAAAAAAGTTAACTCTCCATGCACAATATTCAATATTAACCACCTCCCCAAGAAATACGAAACTAAAAGTATATATTTTTTAAAGTGTTCCTACATTTCAAAACAATTTTAATTATTCCAAAATTCAAATAATGCACACACTGAAATGCTTGAACACTGTGTGTGTAGTTAACAAACCGTCTTTTTGCATAAAAAACAAACTTTTGGATGCTTTTTTTTTTTTAAACATAACCTCTACGTTCTTTAATCGGTTTGAAATATGAATAGTTGCGAGTTGGTTTGTCTGGGTACTTTTTTAATGCTCTTTTGTAAGTGTAGATGTTGTGGGAGATCGAGTCAAGTGGGAGTATAAAGGTAGCTGACTACAAGTAGTTGAAAAGAAAGGCAAAGAAAAATAAGATGTAATAGAAAAAATATAATTGTAGATTAGAAATCAATGCGAGTAATTGATTAAGAAAAGTATATTTTTGACTCTGTTGAAATCCTTGTAGACCATTTAATGATAATTAACAAAAAATTATCCTCTAATAAGTTTTGTATCAAACACTTAATTTTTATACACTTTTTCCATAGAAGTAACGAAATGTATTTGTACATTTATAATTTTACCATAAAAATTACAATATTACATTATTGAATAATTTCATAAATTATATAATATATCCATAATAAAAACGTTTTTTTTTATAGATACATTTGGTATAAATTTTATTGTAAATTTGACCCTGTTCTCCTGTTCATAGTAGGCGATTCAAAATGATAATTTTTTCAACTTAACTTTTGTAAGTGTTCCGGATATTGGTATGTAACATACTTAAAAAAAAAAAATTGTCAAACTTTAGGTTGTCTTAATGATAAAATTGGCTACCGTACTAAAAAATATGCTATTTTTGTGTAAAAATCTTGAGTTTTGTGTTTTATTTTAAAATTCTTTACAAGAGAAATATAGCAATTTTCAAAAATTTTATATAAATCCAATTGACATAGATTATAAAGTTAAACTTATTTTTTTGCTTCTTTTAAGTCGAGAAAAATAACTTTGAAATTCTGAACTAGCATAAATTGCCATTTTTTTATTAACTAGTGCTACGTACGGTTACTATACGGTAGGCGTTAACGCATATCTTTCATACTTGGTGTACAAAATTAGAAGCCCCCTGTGGCAATCAATTTTTTATTGTTTGCTTAATTATTTTTGAGTTAGAAAAACTTTTAAACTTATTTGATTTTCATCTCATTTAGATAAATAATAAAACAATAATATCAATGAATATTAAGGATGTAAGGATACATCAATGTAGTCTCTTCTTCTCGTTAGAAAAAATTACTTATTCGTATCAAAATTATTTTACTATGTGGTTTTTTTTGTAGCTGTCATTTCTTTTCTCGGACCTCACTTGATTAAATTTCTTTAACAATTCTATAGACAATTAAAATCATTTATTTCTAATGTTTTTTACGGACATTCATGATACGTTCGATCAGTGAAATGAAACTCAATATTTCCAAAACCACACAACAAACGAAACCTATTGAGCAAGTTTTGAATCACCCGTGTATAAGTATATCTGGAATTCTGTATTAATACATCTCGTCACAAATATTCAAAATAGTTTTGATCAGTTAAATCGAATGTTATAAATCTATAAAACCATTAAATTTAGACCTCAGATTCGGATTCAGCGACCTCAAAAACTTACAATATACATGGTTAGATTCTTGAACTCGAAAAATTAGTTTTATTTGTGGCTGTATTATTATGAATTCATTGACTCTCTCCAAATTTTAAATTTCTTCTCCTTAAGTTATTACCGTGATTATGTTGGGGATTAAATAATGTACCCTTAAGTAATTTAATTTTTATTTATTCTTGGGCTCAATCCTGAAAAAGTAATTAAATATTTATACATGACTTAACATTATCTTAAAACAGGTAAATTAATAAAATATGCAACGAAGAAACGAAATTAAAAATGAATACTATATTAACAAAAAGTAATATAAAAAAGGGTGCTAATAAGCTATGGTGATGTGAAAAAAAGGCTGAAAGAGTATTTTGAAAAAATTACTGAATGAGAAGTATCCAAGAGAGACATTAGAGGATATCTTATGAATCGAGTATTTTGTTGATTTAATTAATGGAAAAGAGATATGGGAGGCTGTGGCATTAATGAAAAAAAATGAAGTAGTAGGACCAGATGAAGATCCAGTAGAAGTATGAAAAATATTAGGCGGTGTTGACATAAGTTGGTGTAAGGAACTTTAAATAAAATATTATTAGAAGTGAAAATCCCAAATAAATGGAGGAATAGTATTGCGGTGTTAATATTTAAAGGTATAAGAGATAAATTATAGAAACATAAGGCTTCTGAGTCAAAATTGTATGAAAATTTGCGAAAAGGTAATAGATAAGAGAATAAGAAATGAGTCATCGATATCTAAAAACTAGTTTGGATTAATGCCTGGTAAGTTAATGATGGAGCCAGTTTCTTGTATGAGAAAAATTACAGAAAAATATAGAGAATATTTATTTTTTATTTATTCGAATAATAAACGCCTATTAGGCATAAAGTACAGACAAAATGAACATAAAAGAGTATACATATAGGTTTAACAAAAGTATAAGAATAGATAATAACAATATATGAGAATAACATACAACCAAAAAAAAGCATATACAGATAGTACATAGTTCTAATTAGAGTTTATTAATATGAAATCGATGCACTAAATACAATATTCCCTTAAACAATTTTTCATTTTATGGAGCGTATGGAAAAATAAATCAAAGTTTTAGATTTTATTAGCTAATGACAACATCCGGTTTAGCGGTGCTAAGATACAGTAGGAACTTGAATGTAGGAACATGGAATGTATAAGTAGACCTTAAAGAGAATTTCAGAACGTTTAAAGAAATTAGGGATAAAACCTCAGGACAATCAATATTAGAATTTAACAATTTATACAGCCAGTTCAAATGATTAAATTGCCTTCTAAATTCTAGCGTTTCAATATTAAAATCTATTGCTATAGATTTTAATGTTTAATCGATTCTATTTGTCTTATATGCTAACATCCGTAAAAAGCGATTTTGAATGTGTTCTAGTTTTTGAATTTGGTAATCCTGATGTGGGCTCCAAATTATTGATCCATATTCTAAATTTGAACGAACAATGTAAAAATATAAAACGCGTAAACAGATGGGGTCATTAAACTCCCAACAGTTTCGGTTCAAAAATCCAAATAAACGTAAAGCTTTGTTCGTAATTATATTTATATGATCAGTAAATGAAAGATCACAAGAGAAAGTANATCAGTAAATAAAAGATCACAAGAGAAAGTAATACCTAGATCTTTTACTTTATTTATAATATTTAGTTTTTTACCATTTATTTGGTATTGTGTATTTAAGTTTTTCTTATTCCTTGTAAATGTTATTTGAAAGCACTTGTCTATATTCAGATTAAGATCATTATTTATGCACCATAAATTAAGTTGATTAAATTCGTGTTGCAAATTATTAGATTCTTCTAAAGTTAATATAGGCATGTACATTTTTAAGTCATCAGCAAATAATGAAAATTTACAAAAATTAAATATATAATTAATATCATTCATAAACAGTATAAATAAAATAGGCGATAAATGACCACCCTGTGGTACGCCAAAAGTTACATTTATAATCGACGATAGTGATTCTCTTATTTTAACTTTTTGGGTTCGATTTGATAAATAAGACTGAAACCAAGAAATAATTGGATCATGAACTCCAATAGTTTTAAGTTTATCAATTAAAATATTTATATTAACAGTGACATGTGTGGGCCTGGCCCCCCTTAAATTTAATGTGACCCAGAGCCGGCCCCCCCAAATTTAAAATTCAATTATTTTTACGAATTATTAAAAACGTGCTAGGCCTTATATACATTGAAATTATTATTAATTTGTGATTACTATTGAGTAATACAGTTATTATTATGGCTGTATTTTCATTTTTATATTCATAGAAAACGTTTTTTGAAAAAGATAACGTTCTAGACGTAATAATAAATGGAATAGCAATTACTCCAAACGTGGTTGTAGGTAAATTTTTTTTAACTCTGGTCTAACAAATGATAACAAACTACCAAGTATCTGCATTGATTAGAATCTAGTTGATTACAAAATTCGATAGAGTATACTCTATGAAAATTTTTTTGATAAATCTTATCTTTAATTTGTTTCGTTTTTTATAATTTAGTAGTTACAATAGGTAATTTATTTGTTTTTGTTAATTTGTTATTTGCGTGCTCTAAATAATTGTAATTAAAATATGACTAAAAAAAGGCAGGAATTGTTTTTAATTTTAAATAAAATAAATTTTACATTTTTTATAATTTATATTTTTTTTAAAACTTTTTATAACTTAATTGTTATTAGTATTTAGGAATAAATTATTTTTTCTTAATAGCTTAAAAGTTAAAAATAAAAGTTGAAAAATTAAATCAGCTTATGTTCACATCATTATTTTATTAGCTTCGATGCAAAGCTGAGAAGGTATTATTTTTACTATGATGTGCTTTTTTTTGTGTGTGTTACCACTTTTTCTCAGCTTTCACTGAACCCATCATTTCTTTCAGTTATATGTCAAAAGATCACAAATCGTATCTAGTCGAAGACATTACCCTCAAAAATTGCCATAACTTTTTTATATAGATATATGATATCGTTACTTTTCATTTGATATATTTTTTTTATAAATCTGACCCTTTACCTGCCCACGGGGGGGATTTAAAATGACAACTTTTTCACAAAAAATTAACTTTTTTCACTTAAATTTTTTAAATGTTCCGGAAAGTCTGACACTTTTATCTATATTTTAAATTAAAGCTAACGTAATGTACTATTTTATTTAACAAAAATTTCGGAGTTAATTTTGTCTTCACGGTGAAAATGGCTACCAAATGCTATTTTTGTATAAAAATTCTCAATTTTGTATTTTACATTTTTAACTTTATAATGCTATAACTTGTATATTGAAAAATGTATGGATCAGCACAATTTTTTTATGAGAAATAATATTTTTTAATAATCTCTTTTTCATTCGACATACTTTATCTTAATCAGGATATTAATAAGGAAATAGCAAATCATGTAACTTTTGGAATAATTCACCAATTTTTTAAAAATAAACACAAATTTTGAACTTGTAAGATTCATAGAATGGGATACTATCTAAGGAGGAGTGGAGGGACCCCCCACAAGCTTTTCATGGTAAACAAATTGTGGAAAATGATACAAGGGCCCAAAATTGTCGGCCCCTCCAATAAACATTTTCTGGCTACGTGCATGGTCAAATGCCTTTTTAATATCGGTGTAGACTGCATCAACTTGGATGCCATTACTTATTGAATGAACCAAATCAGAGTAATAAATACTACTAAATAAATAGAAGGAAAATCTGTGAATATTTATAGATTTGAAAATTAATGTTGATGGCAGAAGATGTAGCAAAGAAGACCAAAAAAGTGATGGAGGAATATTATTGAATGTGATATTAGAACGGCTGTTGTGTGCATAAAAGTATGGGAGTTTATGTCAAGTGAAATTTTAGGATAAATCTAAGAATTATTAACAATAATGCATATAAATGACATCTAATTCATTACAACTAAAACATACAGTAATTTTAAATAAAATTGAATTATAATAAAGTATGTACTTTTACTTACGAAACATTTTACCAAATAACATGATCGACTTGGTTGGGTATCAACCAATCAACAATAGTATTACATAGTAATAAAATAAATAACAAATTATTCATTAAAATATTAATATAAATCATATTTTAAATGAATATAACAAAAATAATTATCAAATAAATAATCACAAATATTATTTTAATAAATATTAATATATGTAAAAAAGTTCATGGTGACACTATAACTTTTAGAAACTAAACCATACCGGAACACTAAACTAATTTGTCAATAAAGCCTTGTGACTTTAATAGTTCTTAGGCGTTGAAAGTTGCGGAAATCATACGGTTTCTGACTATAATTAAAAAAAAATCCTGTATCCATATGTTATATAACAAAATATAATTTTGTCTTTTATAAACCTATTTAAAAATTACTTTACCACAATAATATTAGTTTCAGAAAAATTCTATAAAAAAATATTGGTTGTATAGATATTTTTATGAAATATTTATAAATTGTAGTATTCGTAGAAATGTTAAGAAAAAGTAAAGTTACAGAAATCCCAATCCCAAGTTGTCGTAAATAAAGGAAAAAAATTTCCAGGCACTGATGTTACAATACAAAAAATGTATTTTTATTTATAGTAATAAAATGTTTTTATACTTTGAAGTGGATTACCGCGTAAGACCTTTAGTAATAACGATCAAACGTTGGGCATCTAAACATAATATAAATGATCCAAAAAATATGACATTATCTAGCTACTCTTTAGTGTTGATGGTCCTTAATTTTTTACAGAGTAAGAAATTAATTTTTTTTTTTATACTTTAGTCTAATTATTACATTTTTTTAGTTGTTTCACCACCAGTTTTACCATCATTACAATCAATTTACACCAAAAAATTTTCTTTAAATGCTGACATTAGATATGTATACTTGCATGAAAAATTACCCAATGAATGGATCAGCGAAAATAATCAATCTCTTGGAGAACTACTGTTACAATTTTTTGAGTATTATAACGACTTTAAGTAAGTATAAACAACAATAATTAATAATAAAATTTAAATCCGTCTGACTCTACCAACAATATTTTATTTGCTTGAAAGAAAATAATATAATCGAACCCAGATTCCCCGTTACCCGATACAACCATAATATTGATAGTAAATACTATAATAACATGAAACTAAAAAGTAAAAAATAAATATAGTTTAAAAAAACACGCTTTTAAAGCACATTGAACTAAAAAGTTAAAAATAATTTTTAAAATAAGCTTAAAACAATAATGAACGAAATATACTAGTATTATCATAAGCTTATTTTTAACTTTTTAGTTCAATGTGATTTAAAATCGTATTTTTTTAAACTATATATTTTAACTACGGCAGCCGTTTGTACGTAGAAGATAAGTCTGCTGGACAAATTTTTTTTATTTTAATTTATAGTATGTAACATTAACTTCAATTTAACATATATTTAAAACTAGTAGTATTTCCGGAACATTAACAAAAATTAAGTTGAAAAAGTTAGTTTTTGTAGAAAAGTTGCTATTACAAATCCTTCCTTGTAAGCAAGTTAAGCGTTAGATTTTCAAAAAAATATCAAATGAAAGGGACATATTTCAGGATTTAATATAAAAAAAAATTGTTACTTTTGTTTAACAAAAACTTTCGGGTTTAATTCGAAAAATAAAGATAAAATAAAATATGCAGAGGTGCCATCAGTGAATAAACCAGATCTTCATTCAGAGGATTTACCAGTGCCCACACCACCCGAAAGAAGTAACTCAACTCGCACAGATTCATCTTCAAGTAGTATTATATTGCAAGAGCATATTGACAGTGAACAATCAAGCTCAGATAACTTTGTTAGTGATGAAGATAGTCCACATTTGATAACTCAGCCTGAGCTCAGCGATCTTACAAGGGATTTGCAGCTGTCAAAGTCCAAAGCGGAATTACTTGCTTCTAGACTGCAACAGTTGAAATTGCTTGATCCTAGCACAAAAGTTACTATCTATCGCTTTAGAGTAAGGAATATGCTAATTTTTTCACAAAAAAAATGAGTTCTGTTATTGTCATGACGTTAAGGGACTTTTTGACGAAATGAAGCAACCATATATTCCAAATGAATGGTGCCTTTTTATAGATTCGTCGAAGGAAAGTCTTAAAGTTGTTCTTCTGCACAATGGGAATGCAAAGCCGTCTATCAAAGAAACCAATGATACAATAGCCAAATTAATTTTAACACGGCCGCCGGGGATTGACGGCCGGTTATAGAAAGTGTACCGGAAATCATGTGAAAAAAAGAGGCACGGTACGGGATTAGAACCCGCGACCCAAGGCGTCGTAAAGACAAACTTTACCACTAGGCCACCGTGCACTTATGATTCAGATCCCGATACACTTTCATTTAGGTTGATAACGTGATGTGCGGCTGAGGGAAACACGGGAAGTACTAAATGCATTTGAGCAAAATTATCAAGGTTTTTGGGATCAAAATATGCTAGGTGACTATTGCTGGTCTGTTGCAAATGAAAATATTTATAAAAAAAAGAGCCAAAGTTAGTCATTTTTGAATATCTATAATGTATTTAGATGTAACTTTTTGTAAAACTATTCACACTAAATATTTCAAAAAACTGACGTGCCAAATTTTTTTGAATATTTTTTCCTCGATGTAGGTACCCAAAGTCACTTATCCGTATATGTTTCATTTCGTGAACAAAATTCATGTAAACATATTATTATAATAATAAAATAATATTATGTATGTTGAATGGAATAGGTTATGTAATTAAAAGATTTAGAAATTATTCGTAATATAATAGTATATAATATAAAATATCAAAACATATAATTTAAGAGATTACGGATCACTTTACTCAATAGACGGCGAAACTACGACTAAATTGTAAACATGTATATAATAGGCCGCATTGATTAAAACAACACAATCGAGAAAAAGAATGTGTCTCTTTTGATCTTGTACTATACTAATTATAAGTCAAAATAGATTAAACTGTTATCTTAAATAATTTTACTATACCCAGTGTGTTGTTTAATAATATCAATTATGTACAAAAATTTAATTATACCTTTTAAAATTAAGCCATGCTTAATGTAATTAAATGTATACAATAATTATGCTCAAATTAAAAATTTGTTAAGAAATACTTAAATATTAATATAGATTACACACACTTATCAAAACATTAATTTGCATGAAATTACCAAATTAAACAAAAAATTACAGAGTTCCACGTCGGTAACGCATTAGCGTCCTTTGTGCACTCTCTCCAGTTGTAATAAACACAACTATCTCAGTTAAAGTTAATACACTTATGTAGATAAAATAAGTTTTAGTGATGTTAGGTGTAGTAAATTAATAGTGACAATAACACATACAAAGATTAGTGCATAACTAAAAACACCGGCTGACGCTTATAATACATAACTATTCTATTCTAATACATTTAGGGCCGTATCTAGTGGGGAAGTTGGGGATCAATCCCTGGGCGTATTTTTAAATTTTGTTGATAATATTAAATTTAAATTCGCTTAGAAACAAAAGTCATAAAACTAGAAAACAAGAACATAAAATAAGAAATAGTATTATTGGTTTTGTGAAAAATGGTTTAAATGAGTCATTTCGGTACTTATTAATCATAGTGTACATTAAACTGTCATCTTAAAAAATTTTACTAAACCCAGTGTGTTGTTTAATAATATAAACATATTACTATTACTTTTTGAGATTCTAGCATTAAAGATTTAGAAAAGGGAGTGTTTAGCGACTCTATTTTTTATTATAATACAATATTTTATTTTTTATTTTAATTCTAAATAAATTAAATCCTAATCTATTTATTTTAACTACATCACAGTAAAATTATTGTCCGTTAAAGGGTTCTTTAATTTAATTCATCTTGTATATCTCAAATAATTAATCAAATACTCTAATAAAAATAAAACTTCTCGTTTAAAAACTGCATGATTTCTCTAATGTGGTTTAGAATTGTATGAATTCTCAGAGTAATACATATACCAGTTTATAAGTCATACTAGAATAGGATTTGTAAAAAAAAATAGTAAATTAAAATTGGTCGTACCTTAGATAATAACAAGTATAATTTTATAACTTTATAAAGATGATTGAATGTGATGATCTGACCTGGTAATAACTTTAGTATCAAATAAATCATGGCAGAAATTAATATTGAACTGAGGCGTCAACCACACTTCACACGTTTTTCGAAAACAAAACCGATACGGTCCCAACTATATCTTTGACCATACGTATGGTAAACCCACCTTATTCGCGTATGCGCCACCATACTGTAAAGGTCACGGAATAACTACTGGCGACGCCGATGTGTCAACGCAACTCAACCTCACACCGGTTACAACAGACTAGATAAGGCGACGACAATCACGGGACAGCTAACGGCTTCCCCACTACTATGTGCAACAGGTTTCGTTTGGGTTGGAAGTTGAACGCGGCCACATATAACTCGCCGCAACAGGGTACATTAATTTTATTGTTAATATTACTTAAGTGAGAAATTAAATTGATATTTTGATGCTGATCAGACAATAAGATAAGGACGCCGTCGAATATAGATTACTGATATGCGTTCTGTTCGGTTTCCGACGTTATCCTTGGCTGGTTGTTGCGGTTTTGTAGCGTTGGAACTCTCATTATTATTTTCGTGATTCCTGCGAATAGCTAAGCCACAGTAAATGGAAAGTTCATCAATAAGTTTATTTGTTAGTTTTCCTTTACCGCCAAAACCGTGTACTTTCTTTTTTAAATTTTTTGTCTAGTGCCCATCTGATCGATACATTCTTTTTTACGTATTTCAAAGTTCTTATACGGTTCAGACTTCAAAAATTCTGCAAAGGTTTTACTATCGCCATCTCCAATATAGCTCCCGTATTTCACTTTATATAAAGTTTCAGAAACATCTCGATAACCGCATCCACCTCCATTTTTACAGCCCAGTCTGTATGATTTATTTGACAATCATCTTGATGTGTTTCGAGCCACTCATTATACTCAGCAGTGTCACTTTTTTTTTCTCCAATATTCGCAAGCCTTGCAGTAACTAGATTTGATAATTATATCGATCACTTTACCAGTATTATATCTGATCAAAGACACCAAACCAAACAATGATGAAAATCCCCGTCTTCTCCACGAACCGTCTCCTGATACGATCAATTCATCTGGTAAATCTTTTCTTAAATTTTCTTCTTTTTCTTTTTTTACAGCATTTTTCATGCTAGCCTTGGAAAAACGTTCAGTAGCATCCCAAATGATTTTGACAACATTATTATAAAATGAGTGAAATGTTGGCTGAGGAAGTTCCATAGAAGCACAAAACTTCTTTATCCGTGTAAACCTATTCCGAGCAGTCGCATGGCAATGATGATTTTTCTATTGATTTCGTATGCTTTTTTATTGATCAGTGGGTAATGGGGAATTTCGGTTTTAGCACATTTTTCACAAGACACAACTATTTTGAATCCAAGTCCGCGTATACCGCTTTCGGTGAATGTGACGTCCGAGTCGCAAATCTTGCACTTCTTCACTACTGACGAAATCGCTGTGAAAACATCCAGAAAATTGATGAAACGATACCCGAAGGATGCATCGACTTCGATATCTCGAGCATTTTCCGACGCTTTCAGTTGGATCGTGTGCCTCCGCTTCATAACGATTTAAAGGTCGCTTTCGTGACATATACGGCTTTTTTGACAAACTTTTTCCACCTTGTTTACCCTTGCGGCCATTATATTTCCAATATTCACGCATTTTGTAAACTTATTTCAGTAACGCAAAGGAAAATCACGCACGTGGCGTTCTCAACAAGCTAGATTGCAGATATATTTTTATGTTCTGAGTTTAATAAGTAAATCTGATGTTGTACTAAGGCAACACGTCGAATCACATAAAAAAGGCTCTGTATTTTATTTTTCTCATTACATTCAAGAGGAATGTATTTCATTATTATTTGAAAAAGTCCGAGATGATATTATTAATCAAATAAAATCTTCAACATTTTTCACGTTATATCCGGCCGATTAATCAGAAAACTGTACTATTGCTGTCAAGGTAAACGCTATACTCAGAATATTCTTTATAAGTTTAATAATCGTTCCCTATATGACATATACACTGGCCACCACTGTCAATAACTGTAAATTTTAATATTGTTCTATACTTTTATATTCTGTAAATTGTAAGGCCGATACTCTCTCCCAAACGTGATCGTCGTCGTCGGGTGTGTAACAAAGTTGACGCTCTCTTCCCTTTGAACCACCGTTGTGGTATTTTGGCTGTGTGCATACAGCCAACATTATTTAATTTTTTTCAGCGTGTGACATTGTTTTTTAATTATGTATTAACGTTTGTAAGGCGTCGGCCATTTTCCGTGGCCGAGATCCCCATTTTCGGATTAGCCCCATCCGGCACTGGGTATCGTATATATATATATTTGTTTCTTGCACATTAATGTTTTGAGCCTTTTTATGCTAAAATGTATTGCTTATATTATACATGTATTTTTTTTTCTTTGCTCATTATTTACTATGAACTAGTATTGATATTTATAAGGTTATTGGTCAGTGGTGGTCATGTATACTTAATACATATATATATATATATATTATTACCGCAGTGACGCAGCCGACCGGCCCGATTACAAAAATTATCCGCCGCGCCCGGTGTACACGAACTTGTTCCGGTATGGAAGATACTTCACGTGTACTGTCTGAAAGTTGTAGGTTAAAATTTTTTTTTGTCTTAATTGTTTTTTTTTTCTCTTGTCCCTTCATTTTCAGAGTGGTTTTTGCCTTCGGGTTTTGTCCAATATTAACTTAACTGTAATAATTTAATAAATTCCCCTTAATTTTCTTAACCAACAAAAATCTTATTTTTTTTTACCTTTAATAATTCTCCCTTGTTTTAAGGTTCTTCGACTTTCGGTCTTCGACATACTAAAGTATGTCCACCACTGGTGATATCAATCAACACATATTTTGTTTTATTTACAAGGTATCAGCATATTCTAGTCTACAACAACACTTTATATTTTAGTATATAAATATATTTTAGCTTCGATGCGAAGCTGAGAAGGTATTAATTGTACCATGATGTGTTTTTTTTTTATGTCTGTTGCCACTTTTTCTCAGCTCTCACTGGACCGATTTCTTTCAACAATACGTCAAAAGATCACAAATCGTATCTAGTTGAAGATACGAAAAATTGAAAAATTTTCCCTCGTTCCCCGCAAATGGCGGAAATATACAAAAAAAATTACAAATTTAAAAATCGGTAAATTTTGTCATTTTTTTCCCTTTTTTTTCTTAAAACTTCCATAACTTTTTCAAAAATAAACAAATCAACATAATTTTTTTTTATACCAAAACCTTAGATATTTCTTAAAAAAACTTTATTTCATCATAGTGTATATTATTTCATTTAATATTATTTGGTTTATTTCCTGTTTCATTTTTTTGAATCCGATGTTTGGCCCAAGACGTCATCTCTCAGAATGGCGACCATTGCTAGGATGTGTAATTTATAACACACGAATCTTAAATTAAATTGTTTTAAAAATTGTATTAATATATATTTTAGGAAAAATTTAACTTTTGATAATTATTTTTTTTATTATTTATGACCGGAGTGGGGGTATTTGTCAGACATCGGAACACTCAGTGACAAGTTCCGGGGAAAAATTTTGCTCCTTATTTCGGTGATTCAGAATACTTTTCTTTTTAATTTAAAATTACCGTAATTTTAGTGAGATGTTGTTATAGATTGTGTATGCTGACCTTAAATTTCGTTTATAGTAAATGGCTCATAACATTTGTTTTATTTTTGGTCCATGGGACATAATTATTTGCCGTTCCATATTTTTTAGATGTCAAGACCTATTCACTGTGTTATATGCATTTCACTGATAGTAGCGGTTCAGGTTGCTAATTGATCGACTATGGTTTTAATTCCGGATTATGGAGCTTTTGAATTGTCACTGAATATGGAGCTTTTACCGGACGGGAAAACGCCAATTATCCATGACATCATCGAAGACACCAATGAAACCTTCGTTAATTAATTTATAAGATATATTTTAGTATTATAATTGGTTCTTATATTTCTCTCTTAGGGTGTTTCCTTTACAGGATTTTTTTTTATTTTTATTTATTATTTTTCAGCTGTCTTAGGTCAGTCTTAGTAAGTAAGTAGCAGTGCTATGGATCAGCTTCGCTTAGAACATAGTGCTCTTGAATCGAAAGTACAACACTTGAGCGCTGAACTACAAAAAGTGTCAAAAATGACACCTGTCCGATTAACTCAACAGTTACTCCTACATCTTCTTTTACTCCAGCACCCATCACATCGTCTACTCAATTACCCATTAATTTGAACCACACATCTAATTTTGAAAATAGCCGTTTGTCTGTTTCTATGCTTTCTGAAAAGTTTAATGATGTTATACCTGAATTTTCTGGTCATGTGAATGATATTCACCCTGAGTTATCTTTGAGTCAAGTTGACTCATATTTTGAAAATATTATTTGTACTGAACAACAAAAGATTTATAGTATCCAGCGGAGATTAGTTAGTACTGCAAGATTTTGGTATGATGCATTAATTCTATCACCACAATCATATAATGAATTTAAAGTCATATTCCGTTCACAGTTTTGGTCCGAGGCTATTCAAGATCGAGTACATGATGTTTACGCCCATACCGTTATTTGTCGAACACGGGACTCTCCATACATGCTATGCAATGGATTGCCAAAACTCGTTTCTTGAATCCTCCAATATCACCTTCGCGTTTAGTTAAAGTTATTTGTCCAACATTTTAACGAACATATATGTACTGCGCTTAAGGAAAGTGACCCAAAGACTACATCAGAACACTTGGCTGTCTTATCAAAATTTGACAATTCACTTTCATTCCATTCAACTACTGGCAATAATAATACGCGTGGGTTGTCAAATGGATCAAATGTTGAAGTCGAACAGAGGCCGAAGAATGTCAACTATCGTCGTCACTTCAATAACAACAACAATCGTCGGTTTGAAAGTAATCGTGGACGTGGCAACGATAGGAGTCGAAACCAAAGTTCCCCAGGTCATTCTCCGGGCGTCTAGGTATTTCGACTCCTAGTCGTTCGCTCCGTCGCACTGTCGAACGTCTTTCAGACTGGAGATGAACCTTCTTAATTATAATAATAATAATTCTTGTTTTTCTTCACCGGAAATTAATATTAAAATATTTAATTTAAATTATCGCGCTCTTCTAAATACAGATGCTACATGCTCTGCTATTTCAGAGAAAGTTTTTCAACAGTTATGTGAAACTGTTGACAATATATAATTATTTCCTCAATTACCTGTTACTGGAGTTACCATCTCCACAGTTGTCGGTGGTTGTAGCAAAAAAGTTCACACTCGAGTTCTTTTGTCTTTATTTATTTCTGATTGTCCCATTGAGAGTATTTTTCTTGTTGTACCGCAGCTATCAGTACCTTTTATTTTTGGTGAAGATCTCCTTCACAAATACCTTTTCTTGTTAGATTATTCTAGCATTTGATTAAATTTTCTTTACTAGGTATTAAGGTGCCATTTTTTCTAATTCTTGTGGTGATAATGATTTAAAATTATCTTCAATTAAATTGCATGCTTCTCCAATTTCTGTATATATGTCTGAGCCTGACCAGTCAGTGTAAGGGACTCAAAGGGTGTCTGTGGTTTCTACTACGGAGAATCCAGTTTGCATGTATCGTATGACTGACTTAATCAACCATAGGGTTGAACCTGGTGACGGATATCGTCCAATATAGAATGGACGATATCCGTCACCAGGTTGAATCTATAATAAATTTAAGTGCTGAGCACAAAGCCAAATTGTCTGAAGTGTTGTCTACCTATCGTACTGTTTTTAACGACAGACCTGGGCTAAACAACTTGTATACGTGTTGTTTTGATGTTATTAAAGATGATCCTTTTAAGGTAAAACCGTATCCAATTCTGTTCTTACAGCGTCCAGCGATCGAGAAAGAATTAAATCGTATTTTGGAATGGGGGCTGATTGAATGTAGTTCGTCACCTCTCAAAGATAATGTTGAATCTATATTTTGGCAAAAGTTTGTTGTCCATTATTGATTATTTATTAATTTGCTTATCTGTTTGGAATGATATACTTTCAAGAATTGATCGCGTGAATATATGTCTACAAATGAAATCATTAAAAACAAACAAAGCTGTTAATCTAACTAAAGGATTAATCATTGAAATTACCAATGTATGAAATAATTTTTTTTTTTTTTTTATACAAACTACCAAATGGCTTTATTATTTAAACGATAAAATTATCTTTATAAATATATTTTACTATAATTGTATATGAAACATAGTTTTATAACAATTAATAAAGAATAAACATGTGTGGAGTGACACCTCCAGCGAGGTGGCTCCTTAACCTAAGTTAAAACTAAATATTTTAAACTAAGTCATATGGTTTATGACGTTTAAGACGCCTGATGTCTTCAGAGTTGTCCAAAAGTTGGATGGCTGCTGTGTTAATAAGGTTCGTTAATCTCACCTCATGTTTGCGAGCAAATCTCTTAATTTCTTCTGCTACTGTAGGCAAAATCAAATCACGGTGTATAATGTCATTTCTATCGTACCGATAAGCTTAAACGATGGTACGGAGTGCAACATTTTGGCATCGTTGAATAACATCAATATTAGACTTACTAGTACAACCCCGCAGTTGTATACCGTAAGTCCAAATTGGTTTTATGATAGCTACGTAAAGTAGACGTTTGTTATTCAATGAAAGTTCGGAATGTTTCCCGATCAACCAGTATAACTTTTTCATTTTTAGTTTTATTTGCAAACTTTTCTGGCGTACATGGTGTTTCCAATTAAGACGTGAGTCTAAGTGCATTCCTAGGTATTTAGCCGAATCTTTTTGTGGGATAATTTGATGATTCATTTTGATAGGAATATTATTGGTATTACGAAGTGTATAATTGACATGTACTGATTTGTCACTATTGATTTTAATTTTCCAACGTCTTGTCCATAAGAAGATATTATTGATCGAGTTTTGTAATTTACCAGTTGCAGACTGTTGACTATAACTGGTTGCTAATACAGCCGTATCATCAGCGAACATGGCAGTTGTCGTATCATTGGTTGATGGAATGTCAGCAGTATAAAGTAAATACAAAATAGGTCCTAAAACACTACCTTGTGGTACTCCTGCTGTTATAGTTTTCCAATCTGTAACAGCTTGCTCATGCATTACCCGAAACTCTCGTTCAGTCAAGTAAGATTCTAATAACGCGCACCAAGTGTGTGGTAGTTGTTCTCTTAATTTTATAAATAGTCCTTCATGCCAAACTTTATCAAACGCCTGCGCAACGTCTAAGAAAACTGCACAACAGTACTTTTTCTCTTCAAGAGCCTGGTTAATAACATTGGTAACTCGGTGAACTTGATCAATTGTAGAGTGCTTATTGCGGAAACCAAATTGGTGGTCAGGTAAAAGTTGCTTTTCTTCAATCAAAGGTTTTATCCTTTTAAGAAGAACTTTTTCAAAAAGCTTAGATAAACAAGGTAAGAGTGATATTGGCCGGTAAGATGTTACCTGATCTGGTGGTTTACCTGGTTTTAGTAACATTATGACCTGAGCTTTTTTCCATAATTTTGGAACGTATTCAGTTCGTAAAATTGCATTGAAGATGTATGTAAGATAAATAATCGCCTTTTTAGGCAATTCTTTTATCATTCTCGGGCTGATTTCATCGTAACCTGGAGCTTTTTTTTTTATATTGATGTTGTTATCAATTTCTTGCGCCACTTCTAATGGTGAAAAATATTTTATTTTCTCCCGGTTTCTATCTAATTGTAAACTATAGAGTCCGTCAAGTTCTGAGACTATATTATTAGGTTTAAATACAGTCTCTAAGTAACATGCATATACTTCAACTTTTTCATATTCACTTCGTGCCCACGTGTCGTCTTCTTTGCGAATAGGTGGCACGTGTGTTAAAGGCCTTTTTAGTCGTTTAGTAGCTTTCCACAGAGAGTAGTCAGTATCTTGGGTTGCAGAAAGTTCGCTCAAGTAAGTTTTAAAAGTTTCGTTTTTCATTTCTTTTATTTTGTTGTGGAGTAACCGACTGATGTGATTCCACTTTTTTTTGTCAGTAGGATGTCTCGTTCTATGCCACGTTCTCCTAGCTTTTCTCTTTTGTTGTACCAACTCTCTGATTTCTATTGGGTAGGTGATCTCTCGTATTATGAAATAATAGACTTGATATGTTATTTTAAAATGTCGACGAATTATATACAAAAATGGATATTGCAACTGTATTTCCTCAAAAAAGACAAAAACTAGTAAAATTTATGGTTCTTGGAGAATCTACTGATGACTCAAAGGCATTTCAAAAGATAAAAGAATTTAAAAAATTTTGTGACATTTTAATTATGAATATGAGATGGATTTTTGAAGCCCTAGATAAAGTATCTGCTGATTTTTGAATGGATCTTTTTCAACAAGACTAATCGTTGAAAAAGATTCAAAATATTTAATTTAGGCTGCAGTTGATTTAGCCAGAAAATATGACAGAGATTTACAAGCTTCGGACTTTAATGAAGAAAAGATTAATATTAAAAATCTTGTGTTAGATATGTTAGCCGACCTAAAAAATCAAACGTCACTAAACATTTTGAAGTTAATACACAGTATTGAATGACAAACATTTCCCCGAAAATTTGTATTACTATTCGTTTATATCTAACATTGCCTTGTACAACCGTATCATGTGAACATAGTTTCAGTAAATTAAAATTAGTCAAAAATATTTACGCTCGACAATGAATCAAAGTAGACTTACTTACTTGTCACTGTTATCTATAGAAAAAGAAATCACTAAGACAGTTGATTTTAATCCAATTATCGATAATTTTTCTATAATCAAATCTACAAAAATACAATTCTAAATTTTAAAATAAGTGTATTAAAATTAAAATAATTTAGTACATCAGTTTAAGTTATAAGTATAAATTAGTATTGTACAATTTAGTATTCAGTAAATATATTTTTGTTTTTACTGTATTTTTTCCGAACAGATATATATCAAGTTTTATATGTATATCAAAATGATTTGAATAAATATTGATAACGTTGCACATTTACATAAAACTTCTCTTGTAACTAAAACAATTAATATTCGTCAATAAAAATTTCATTGTCATTATTTACTACTGACAATTATTTTTCGTAAACCTAAAACTAATAGAAAAGTGTATTACTAACATAAAGTATATTAACGTTCTTACTCTCATGGTGATTGGTAAACGGTGGTTGGTTTCATTTTTTTTGTCAGTTGAACAAAAAAAAAAGGTCTTCACAAACAATTTTTTTATCATCCCCGGGTGTTAAAATGTTAATACATCTATATATACTAAAACTAATACACAAGAAAACTTATTTTTATGGAATACAACCACAAATATAAAGATAATTTTTAAACTTATTTCTGAAAACTTAGATTAAGATATAAGTTACAAAAACTACAAAGTTGACAAAAATAATTGTAATTAAATAACTAACATTGTCAATATGTTCTATAATTACCAGGAAACTGACTAATACAGTTTAACTTCGATGTAAAGCTGAGAAGGTATTTTTTTTTTGTCTGTACCACTTCTTCTCAGCTCTCACTAAACCGATTTTGATGAATAATACGTCACAAATCTTAAAATACACTCAAAAATTGAAAAAGTTTCCCTCGTTTTCTGTAAATGCCGCAAATCCCCCAAAAAATTACAATTTTTAAAATAGGTAAATTTTTTAATTTTCTTCACTATTTTTTCTTAAAACTGCCATAACTTATTGAAAAATGATAAAAATTAAAATAACTTTTTTATACTAAAACCTTACATATTTTCCTTTATTTGATATCATTTTTTGGAAATCTTACACTTAACCTGCGCATGGGGGGATTCAAAATAGCAACTTTTTTAACTTTTGGAAATACTGTATTCTTCAAACATATGTTTAATTAAAGTTTACATTATGTACTATAAGATTAAAAAAAAAAATTTCCTGACGACCTATCTTCTATGTGCAAATAACCGTCAAAAATGTAAAAAAAAATGTTATTTTGGTACTTAAAACTGCCATAACTTTTTGAGAAATGAATCAGCCAAATTAATTTTTTTTATATCAGCACCTTACATATTTATTTTTCGTTTGATATAAATTTTATGATAATCTGATTTTACCAGTCCCCGGGGGGGTGGGGGGGGGGTTCAAAATGATAACTTTATCACAAAAAATTAATTTTAAGAAAAAGTATGATACAGTACAAGGAGAGGTTTTAATTAAAGTGATCAATAATGAGACTGAGAGACCAAAAAGGTACATAAATGTATAAGTATGATGGTTCTTGTACCAGAGTAAAAAGTGTGGGCAGAGTAACAAAAGATATTAGGATAAGAGAAGGAGTGTACCAAAATTCTGCTATAACCTTTTACTTA